AAGTAGGGCTAAGATTGCACCCTTGTATGTATCAGGGTTCACCGAGCGACCGTGGTCTGAATGTCTAGTCTCGGTCTACGTCGTGTGAAGTCTTTACTTTTTCTTTCTCCCTCCCACACGCTCTTGAAAACTATAATCCTACCTACTGTGTCATTACTGGCCGAGCTGTATATCTATATTTATTTATCGTCTATCGCTAATATCGGCACATAGACAGTGAGCTAAACCAAAGCATCGCCTTTGAGTTGCATACGCTAACGCCACTATAAGTCTTGTATGTCTTGTTGGAGAATGAATAGACTTCGAAAGCTGGATCTGTGTCTTTTGTTGACGGAGTATGCGTATGTTATTCAGTCTGTTATTCAATAGACCAGCCAATGTGCTAATCTTCAGTGGGTAGTAATTAATACATAAAATTAAATTAATTAATAGTGCTGTAAATCGGTGTTTTGCTGAGATGTTCAATTCACATTTGTGACATGTCAAATCTCAGGCCCGAGACCAACCCCATTTCTCAGCATTCATAAAAGGTCAGGTTCGTTGACATACTAGTAGCAACATTCTTGTTTTGTATATTCTGAATATTTTCTTTTTATATAATTTTTGTTCGCATATGCATATACATTTAATGTGAAAACAGCCACGCTTATCTTCTGGAAATATGCCATCATTATGACCGTAACATGGAAATAGTAGTAAGAAAATATTTGCGTATGAAGTGCCCCATTGAACCACTTTAGATATAAATAGATCGATTTACTGTGACGTAAATTACGGGGTTTCAATAATGGCAGCACTTTGCCTGATTCGCATAGATTGGTTTAAAGCACACGATAATTGGTGGCAAAGATTAATGGAAAATGACTGGTTGCGATATATTATTATTGCAGTATCTACCGGAAATTCGAAACTATTTTCTTTATTTGTCAATTTATCATTAATACTATATATATGTATGTGCCTTGTTTCACTTTAGTCACATAATTTGGGCATCGATCTGTGATTGCATCTCTATCGTGTTATTTTTGTTATATTCATAGAAGGCGACGGTCTCTCCGAGCTGTCGGACAATTTTGTGTGTCATTGTATGAAGTTGGAAGGTAATAGCGACACACTGGTTTCGCGGGTCCCTCACGCCACAGCTTTTGTTGTCTTTGCTGTAAATTGCAATACAAATTAGTTGAACTCGGTGTATGTATGCATTGTACGTGTTCGTTTCCTATTACAAATTTTAAATTGTATTTTGCCCAAGTGGGAATTTATCAATCA